TCCGATCAAACATGTCAGAGAGAGCAGGATCAGATAGTCGTCAATTCCGAGGTTGCCCAGTCTCGACCATCGCGCATACATGCGTAGCGCGACAAAAGGCACCGTGGCTACGGTACAGATATACCATGACACCTGTCAATTGAATCAGCACTGCACATAGTATACCAAGCATGCAGGAACAAGAGAACTTACCACCTGCCCGAGCTCACTGTCGGCCATGTTGCTTTGCTTGAGTGGCCGTCACCGAGAAAAAGGCCGTGAGGAGTTCGAGCCTGCTCGCTCCACTCTAGTTGGAGATCCAAGAACAGTGTGTGGAGAGTGTGACGAGGGTGAGTAGAACGTCGATTGACAGCGGGGCTGCCGCAACAAGTACCATTTTTCTCTACTCCACGGGCAAACGACCCCCTAAAGTAACTTTACAGGATGTTGCGGGTTGTGCAACTAGTATGCCGTCCCGTAGCGTTGTGGCATGATAGCATCAGGGGACCTCCCAAAGCCCAACCAACCGTAAGCTGGCAAGCATCTGAGAGGTCTCGGCCGCTAGAGTCGGCAACCAAAATTGAGCTGCGAAACCCTTCTACGGCCGCTACTGAGTGGCAACCATTTCATGCGTTAGAGCAGGTTCAGCTACGCTGGTTGGAAGGATCTGACTCGAGACGACAAAACTACATGTATAGCATCGTGTTCGCCGAACGGGGCAGTGGGAAACTATACGCCACTGCTCGCATGTGAAGAGACTACCGAGTAATGGATGGCAAAAACTCGTCGTTGGCCTCGGGGTCATGGGTGCGATGGTGAAAAGGGTTGTGCTCAGATCCGTATCGAGGTTCCATGGTTCGGTCCGATGAGGATGCAAGCATCCTAGCTCGCATGGCGATGAACGACAGGGAGCACCGGTCTGGAAGGCGAGAACTAGACACATGGCGCACGAGGCCGACAGGTTCTACCTTGGTACGTCGACCTTCTAGCGCTTTTGGTGTCTCAGCCGGGCTTCTAGCATGGATGCCGGACGGCAGGTGCGATTGGTTCGACTCGCTTAGCTTTCCAATTTTGCGGTCCCTGAATCTGATCGGACCTCGGATCCTGCGGAATCTGCAGAGACGGAGATGAAAATGCCCTATTTTCCCTCGCGGCTCCTTCAAGCTCCACGCCGGGCAATCTTCGGCAGTTGGACGTTACATGGTGTTGCTGTACTGTTGGCGGCGAGAACTCGTTCCACCTTGGTGGCAGCCCGCCAAACTGGTGCCCTATATAGCCATGTGTAAACCCAAACACGATCTACAGCCTCCCGCCAAACTCTATCTCTTACCCAACATCGTGTTTCCCTGTCTTGCATCATGAAGGTTCCCTCGGCTCTGATTGGCTTGCAAAGCCTCTCGCTAGGCGTTTTCCTCGGACAGGTGGCCGCCACGCCGCTACCTCCGAAACCTTCAAGAGCAACCGTTGTGGATGGAACGGCGGCTCTCGATCAGGGAACTGTGAAGGGTTTCACTGATGACTATGGAAACTCTGTTTTCCTCGGCATTCCATTTGCGCAGACCACTGGGGGACAAAACCGGTATGTAATGGCGGTCCCGCATCGCCTCCGGTTTACTGATCATTGCGTAGATGGAAGGCTCCCAAGGATGTCAAGAAGCTAAAGAAGGGCGAGGTACTCGATGCCACAAAGTACGGTGCAACATGTCCCCAGGCCATTACCGGTACAACATACTCCCAGCAAGATGAAGATTGCTTGAACCTCAACATCTGGGCGCCATCTTCGAACAGTAAGCTGCCACGGGCGCCGCCGATGCCTCATAAACCGAATGGACCTCACCATCCACCAGGCCCTCCGTCAGGCCCACCAGGTCCACCGGGTTCTCCACCAGGCTTAGACGCCCCCGGTGGTCTTCCGGTATTCGTCTACATGTACGTGATTTCCCTGTACGAACTGTATGTGGAGCCAATGCTGACGAGAATTTCTTAGGTATGGCGGCGCGATGGTATGTAATTGCCAATGTACGAACTGCGTGAGACAAAAACTGACTTCGTACACCCATCTTTAGGTAACGGGCTCAAGCAGCAATCCAGCCTACGTCGGAGAGAATTTCGCTCGCAAGGGAGTTGTCTTCGTTAGCTTCAACACTCGTGAGAGTCTTTGGGCATACCCCAACTCTGCCGAGCTTGTCGATGGAGAGGAGTCGCAGAACTTTGGCATCCTCGATGTCGACAAGGCTTTGCAATGGGTCTTCGACAACATCGCCCAGTTCGGCGGTGACCCCAACCGTGTCGTATTCGGAGGTCATTCTTCTGGCTCTGTTCAGGTTGACCACTACCTCTGGAACCACCCCCAAACGCCCTTGAAGGGAGCTGTCCAGATGGCCGCCAATGCAAAGTCTGGTCCGGCCGTCGGTCCTACCAACGAAGCGCTCGACCTCGTTGCCAAAGAGGTCGGTTGTGCGACTGGTGCAGGCCAACTTGAGTGCCTGCGCAAGGTGGACATGTACGCCTTCCAAACTGAGGCCTTCAATGCCACCTTGAACACGTACTTCACGCCTGTCGTAGACGAGAAGACACGCTACCAGGACTATGCCGCGCGATTCGCTGCCGGCAACTACGCTTCCCATGTACCCCTCCTGACGGGTAACTCCGACAAAGAGGGCGCCCTTTTCGGTCTGGTGTATGGCAGCGAGAACACAGACTTTTCAGCGTGGCTCAAGACCTTTGATGCTGACGTCGCCGAGATCCCAAACAACATCATCGAGGCTGCGTATGACATCGCCGATTATTCCAGTGTCTCGGAAATGAGCGGTGCCCAGTACGGTGATGCACGCTTCTTCTGCCCTGTCGACCACTTCATCGACTTGCGCAGCGAGACCCAAGACACTTGGTCATACCGCTTCCTCGGCAACTACTCCAACCTCTTGCCTCTGCCTGTCGACTACCCAACGCACGGTGCTGAGATTCCATTCTTCTTTGGAGGCAACGGTGCCTTTGCTGGTGTCCAGGGAGTCACTGCCGAGGAACAGGCGCTTGCTGACTTCCAGAACGACTGGTTTGTCGAGTTCATCAAGAACCCCGCCGCTGGTCCTGGATGGGAAAAGGCCACTCCTCGCAGCGGGCCGATTGCGAAGCTTGGTGTGCCTGGAAACGAGCTTACTGTCGAGATTGGCAACACAGCCGATTACAATGGCAGGTGTCAAAAGGTATACAACCCATACCTACCAAAGTACCCTGTCATCCAAAGTGTGCTTTCCGGTGTTATGGACATGGTAGAGGGCATTGTCGGAAACTAGAACAACAGATTAAATACTCAATCGGAAGGCTATCATGACATCTTACTAGCTTCCATAGTTAATCCTAATGTAATCACACCCACAGTATTCGTACCACTTCAGGAAGTTCTCTCCACTACAGTGTTGAACCAATTGCATTTCCAGAGGTCGCGCTTGGGGTTCAAAAGAAAACACGTAATTCCGAGGTCTGATTCTGAAACTGGACTCAGATTCTGTAGGCTCATCTGGCGATGAAACTGGTGTTGTCGCTGATGCGCAAAGAGTCATGCGAAGGGTTGGCAACCTTGGAGTCGGGTCGTGCTGATGAGATCGTTGGAATGCATCAGCAAGTAGCGGATGTAATCGACTTCCAAGGTTGTTGGTCGGCGACGTTGCTCCCGGCGACACTGCGGTGCGGTGATTGCGCAGGACACGCTTCTGGGGAAATCCGCGTCCTTGCACCCTCTCGACAAAATCGCATATCGAAGATTAAGATGTCGAATTGCGGCTGCTGGGGAAGGCTTTCTAGACCCCCCGAGAGTTCGGAAAGCACCCGTCTTGGCGAGACCCAGCAGGCCCCTCTCCCTGCTCCGCTAAAGGAAGGAGGATACGACAGAAGGATTGCAGGCGAGGCTCGCAACACGGCTTTGCGGCTCGAAGTGTTTAGCAAAGTAAAATTCGCATGTGGGACTGCTCAACACGAAGTGTGAGGCTGAGCTTGGGTTGCTGGTGGTTACCTAGGTACCAATTCGTCGCGTGGCAGGTGCGACAACACGCCTCGTGGAACTTGAGCAACGTCCTGTCTTTCCCCACGATAGACCCTGGAAACCTCTCGTCTTCCTCTCACAATTCCACGCCGTCGCACGCGTTTCCACCAAGCTCACGCCCCAATGTTCCATCCTAGGCGGACCCGAGTTTCGCAATTAGCCAGGCTGGGGCTGATTGGACCAAGCCTGACGTTTTCTCGCTCGCCCCATCCCGGCTTGGCCCCAAGCGGGTCTCATCCACAGCGCCCCTTTTCTCAGGCTCTTGAGATGCAATTGATACGATATGTACGGAAGAGATAGGCGGTATCAAGAGTCAAATAGAGGGAAATCCATGTGCGATATAACGCATTTCAAAGGCAGCCGCTGTCGACTTCCTATAAGAAATTCAGCATGGAGTTTACAGGGGATGAGACGATCTACATAAGGCCCCCCCTTGGCACACGGGGGCCTAAAGCTGTCACGCACCCGTCGACAAGGGCGGTATGCCTCATGGCGCGCGATGCGTGTACTGTACAGGCTGCGCCTCTCCATCCCGCTGTGACTAGATGCGCATTCTGAAATGGATGCGCCGGTGAGCCCATGTGGCTGAATTACAAGCGTTCCAACCGCTGCTCGGGTCTGGACCTGGGCCTGTTGTGGGATGCCAATTTTGACATGAAAAGGATCCTTTTGTCTCTGAAAGCCTTTTAACGTTGATCTTGTCAGGCCATAGCCGCAGACTAACCTTACTGTACCTGCCAGGCGGTACTCCACAGCTTTCTACCTTTCGCTCAGGTCCACAAGGCCCGTTTAAGCTGGCCCACACCCCCGTTATCACACGTCTTGCCCGCAGCATACGACTCTTTATAGACTCGCTTCCATCCATGGCCTGCACGTCGATCAGGCGTCCGAGCAAGATTTTGGTGCAAATCACGATCGAACTCGGTCTCCCTCCGCTGCACTTCCTTCACACCACACCCGGTTTCGAATCAACGCCACTATGACCGCGCGTGGCCGTCTCGAACGCATCGATGAAGACCAAGAGTCTCCCTTCCAACGCCGGACCGTATGCGACCGACTCCAGGACTATCGCCAGCTTGGCTGGCTGGCATGCGCTACGACCTCGCTGCTCACGACACGGCATTTGCTGATTGAAAGAAATCTGCACTATCCCTTGCAACTGTACATCACCCAAATCGCGGCTACGGCCCTAGTCGCTTTCCTTTTCCATCCATGGAGACCGAGCGCTCAGCATACCAGCGAGCAAGACCAACGTAGGAAGCGACCAGTTCAAGGTGCCCTGTTATTGGCCGCTTCCAATCTCCTGCAAGCGGTATCTGCATTCTGCATAGCACAAGCAATACTGCATACTTCGAATCTACCGTTGCTATGTATGATCACGGTATGTTCTCATAAGAAAGCTTGACATAAGTACGCTGACCTTGTCAGACCATAGCCTTCTTCGCTGAAGGTGTAGTTCTCTATGTGTTCAACTACACACCTCGCTCAAACGCAGAAACCCTGTCTTTGAGCTTGCTTGCCACAGCTTGTGCTGGTATCCTGTTCATGGAATACCGACTAATGGTACCAAGCTTGATCGCATCGATCTTGGCGATGCTCCTCGTCGGTGCAGCAAGTGCACTGAAAAAGCTTGCTGCTAGACACTATCCAGGAGAATATGCTACTCGAAGCATGAACGCTATGTTGCTCGTAGTTATGGGCGGTCTGCTAGCATTGTTCTGTCTTGTCAGCAACTTTCCGGGCGAGCACTGGGACTCATTCGACACAAGCAGCCTGCCTCTCCGCGGTCTCAATGCCTTCTCAACAGCAGCGGCATTGTTGAGTGGGGGCTCGATACTTTTCCCAATGGATATGCAGTCAGGAGGCCAACTACCCGGAAGCAGCTTTGCCGCGACACAACGCGTCCGCAGCGCCACGACAATTCTAGCCATGGCAGCCATCACAGGTTCTTTTACTGTTCTGTCAACGCGCCGATCCTACACCAGCTTCTACCAACTATCATGCTTTTTCCTCGCCATCATGTGCGCCTGCGGCAAAGATATCTACGACACGGTTTGGAAACCGTCCAACCGTCAGGACAGCTCGCGCGGAAGCTACGATCTTGTCTCACGCTCTCTCAATGCACCGATCGACGACGAAGAGGATTTTGGTACCAAAGCGCAACGAGCATCACGGCCAAGATCGCAGGGCAACAGCGCTCGCTCCTCTTTGGTCAGCTTGGCCTTGATCGTGCTGTGGACAGCATTCGTGAGCTTGAACTTTGGACAACGACAATACCCTCGAGAGGAGCCCCGCCTGGATCTACAATACGAACCCATTGGACCCTTGGAAGTTGTGATCAGCATGTACAAAGAGCGCACTGAAGATGTTGCTGCTCTTATAAAGAAGCTGGAGAGCATGCCACAAATGACCGAGGCTCTTGTTACGATTTACTTGAAGGACGGAGAAGCAGACGAAAGAAAGATCAAAGCGGAAACGAACGCGCACGAAGTCATCAAGCTACCAAACATAGGACGCGAAGCCGAAACCTACCTGAACCACATCGTCAACCGCTGGGACAGCCTTGCCGAACGAACGATTTTCCTCCAAGCCGACGTTCACAACCCACGAGAATTCTACCCATTCTTCGAGCGATATTTCCGGGCGAACCAGACAGGCTTCCTTAACCTGGGTTGGGCGGGGATATTATGCAATGGCGACGACTGCGGGGACAAGCGCGGCTGGCGTGATGAGACATCGCTGTTCGCGGACGTACAATCCCGAATTGACGGATCCACTCGTGAGAACGTGCTGCTCAGCTACAAAGGCCAGTTCGTTGTTACTGCTGCGCGCATTCGCGGAATCGACAAGTCCATCTATGACGATTTGTGGCAGCTCTTTGTCGACGAACACAGCTGGGCACACCAAGAGCCCTACCTTCAAGAACGACCCGATTCGATGAGCCAACCCTGGTTCGGATACACAATGGAGAGGATATGGAATGTACTGTTTCAGTGCTCAGACATGGATGTTGCATGGCGATGCCCGACTCTGTTGAGCGGGTGGAGACCTGGTGGTAGCATTGCCGACTGCCAGTGCTTTGATTCAGAATCGGCTGAGTAGGTGGAGAGGCATGCGTAGCGTCTGAACATTTTTTGTTTGTTTGTTGTGATACCCCTAGACGTCGAAAGGCGCAACGCGATGTGCCGAATTACGGTCGCTTGTTGTTAAATATAGATGACGCGCAATGGAGCGGAATAATAATAGTTTACTCAGGTTCAGTGCACACAACCTGGGAACGATCATGATTCTCGTCAGATTGCCATACACGCGAGCATGCTTTTTCCTGCCCAGCGGAACAGCACGGCCGTGGAGCCCGCGGACGACCATGCCACGCAAAAAAGGCCATCCCGAAGCGTTTGAGGTCTTCATGCATCCAAGGGCTGCGGATGCAGGAGGTTCGAAGCGCCAAGCTGAAACACTCTGTGCCGGCCAGATCTCGCGTTCCCGTTTGACACGTGATACAGACACCCCACTTTCAATGCTCGCACGGGTGCCGCAATCGATCCTTGCGCACAGGCGAGCCACCACTCACACATGACTCGGCCGCATTGCACAGCCATGGCGTCGCAGATACTCTCCTTTCTCTCGAAACGTTCCATAAGATCACTCGCGGCGACGTTTTGTACCTAGCCGACCAACTTTCCATGCTCACACAGGGACATTGCCCGTCTTCGAGCTCTGGAAAGCCTGCGGCGAACCCCGTATATTGAACCTTCTAATACTCCGGGATACCAACCTGCAACCACTATCACACCTTCGGGAACTAAACGACAGCGTTCCTTCCACTTGGAACTAACGGACCCTGCATATTCCAATGGCGACCATTCAGCAGCGATCGAGCAACAAGCTCTCAGTCTCTTCGAACAGAAGCTCAGATGGCCTCTACAAGCATCGTCAAAGCATGCTCTTCCGAGAACTGGAAATTTTACTTGAACTCACACCGAGCACCTTCAGCTCACCACTTCTGGCCCTTCCAAGAGAGATCCGCGATCAGATATTCAATTATGTGCTGCCGGATCCCACAAGAAACCGTCCGGAACTCCATACTTGCCTATGGGGCGCGGAGATGTCCAATGGAGAACCCTGGAGACACGACATTTTCGGATATGGATCAACCGTAGCCAAAGCATCGCGACTACGACCTGAGCTTCTCTTGATCAACAAACAAATTCGGGACGAGCTGCTTCACAATTACTACCGCCGCAGCAAGATCACTCTGCACGCTGAACTACGGAATACGCGGACGAATAACGACTATTTCGAGTTCTCACAGCACATCCTTCAACTACCCATGTTGAAGCACATAACACACATACGCTTCTACGTTGAATGGAACTACACGACGCTGAAAAATGGAGGGAGGGATCGCATGATGAAAGACCAGACACGTATGACGAAGAACCTCCTCGCCTCCATGGATAAGATCGCCCTGTTACTACAGTGCATCGAGACGATCGAGCTATCAGTACTCTTCTTCTGGAAATTCCGGAGCGGGAAAATGTACAGTCTTTCCATGCAGGACCTCTTTGACCTCGAAGACGTGTTCAAGCGCTGCGCAGAGCTGCCCTGGCTTGGTTTACTCGGCGAAAATGACCTACCTGGGAAGAAGAAGACGACTACTTCCACCTACCTCAGCCCGACTTCGGCAACGACGAACTCTTCGGCGGGTGTGGGCTACAAGATGTCGACGGAGAAGAAGGGTACGGAGCAGAGTGGAGGCATGGAGATTTGCATCAGTCGTGACCTGGAGGATGCGATGGAGGAGAGGAGAAAGAGTAGTGTTGACTTTTTCGGCAACTACGAAGTCACAGAGCCTTTGCCTCAACCTTGTTATCGGCATGGTGCTATGATATGAGGTGAAGGGCTGGAAGAAATACCTGACTTCAAGGATGAAAATCGTAGTTCTTTGGTCGAAGAATGCCAAACGACGGCACTTCTGCCACACTAGTTCTGGTCTTACAGCACCTGCGTCGCATACAGTACCACGACCCGATTACCGACGCTATCACAACGCGAAAAAGAGCAACACCTACAATACGAGACTTAGTGCAATAACCGTTGGTATGCGCAGTGCTCGTACGACGTTCTCAGCACACAGGCCGATTAGCATGGTATAGTTCTCACGAATGTGAGAGCAAGATGAATTCGGTTCCACAAGCTCTCCGCCGTATAGTGAGCAGGGACTCAGGTCACGAATCCGCCAGTAAGGCGCGGTAGCACAACCTTGGCCATTCTAGACCCACCAGAGGGGTATCACGTCCCGAGTTGTGGCGTGCAACCTACGCTAGATCATGGGGCTCGGCCGAGGCCACTAAGTTTGTTGCTAAGCAAACGCGGGGAAGATGAAGAGGGACGGAATTTGGTAGATGTGTCGATTTGAAGCTGCTGAATTTGCGCTGGAGGAATAATCGCATAATCGTTGTGGTAACATCTCGTTCTGATGCCTCTGTTGTTATTCTCAGTGATACCCTCCAAGAAGCAAGGTGCAAAGTTGAGAGTGGACATGACGCACTATCTCGGTAAGGCCTCACGGTAGTCTTCCGCGTTTTGGTGCCCCATCACTATGCTCATGAACGAGACTGTCCACAATCATACTGCAGTGGAGTAAGCGGACAATATTCAGTAAAATTATATTTTTCTTGGTATGTCATAGAGTTTATTTAAGCACTGCATCTGTGTTGGACCCTTGCTGCGTTGCACTCAACGGAATTAACGCTCAAGATCTTCACCGAGCAAGCCACAGAACATGCAGCAAGCAGGTAGCCGCAGCCGATGACACCTCTCACTACGGCTAGCTGCATTTCATGTGTTCTTACTTAATGTTGGCCTCCGTAGCTGCCATTCATGGCGCTGTTGCGTTCTACCCTGCCCCGGATTCAAGCCATTCGAGGCAGCCCGTTATCCCCGGACACCCATGTGGACGAGATCTCCACATGCCAACATTATTAGCTTGACAGCATTCGCTTCGCTGTTTCCGACAAATAAGTTATAATTGCTTTGTGCAACAGAGTGACGCACGACTCAGCGGTGACGCATAACATAGAGCGAATTCGTTGCCCTCTGAGCTCATACAATCTCTACAAGCCATCAACATGCCGCAACTAGAACCACCTGGATTGTATCGCCATCCCACAAGAAGCGAGATCATCGACCTCGCCGCAGCAGAAGGCCACGATGCAGATATCCCAAGCAACCTCGGCTCGATACACCAAGTGCCGAGTCATACATCGGAAAGACGGCACTCATTAGACGAGAAGAAGGCCGAATACACAACTGGCGAAAGAGACGTTGAAAAGGGAAACGGCTTAGGTTCAATCTCCAGTGCAGACCAACCCGATGCAGAAGAGGAACCTGAACGCGATCCGAATATTGTCGACTTTGACGGTCCCAACGACCCAGAGAACCCGATGAACTGGAAAGCGTCAAAGAAATGGGGCATGGTCGCGTTGATCTCAGCTATCACGTTCCTAACGCCTCTTGCGAGTTCGCAGTTTGCACCTGGTGTACCGGAGGTTATGCGCGACTTTAACTCGACGAGCGATCTGCTGGAAGGCTTCATGGTGTCCGTGTACGTTCTTGGCTTCGCTTTTGGGCCATTGATTATCGCACCGCTTTCGGAGATGTATGGCCGGCTGCCATTGTACCATAGCTGCAATTTGCTGTTCATTGTGTTTACGATTGCGGCTGCAGTGGCGAACAATATGGCGCAGTTCGTTGTGTTCCGATTCTTCATGGGCTGCTTTGGAGGAGCACCCATGGTACTTGGTGGAGGAACTATCGCGGATCTGATACCACGAGAACAGCGTGGTACTGCCATGGTTAGTAATATCCATGTACGAACTGTATGTGAGACAAATACTGACTTCGTAAACTCATCTTTAGGCTGTCTGGATGATGGGTCCAACCGTAGGACCATGTGTCGGCCCAATCATCGGTGGCTTTTTGACAGTAGCAAAAGGCTGGCGATGGAACTTCTGGTTCGTCGCTATAGTGGGTGGAGCGTTTTTCATCATGTCACTCATTCTGATGAGCGAGACATCTGGCATCATCATTCTACAACGGAAAGTCAACCGCCTCAAAGCCGAAACAGGCAACACGAAACTACGATCTAAGCTGGACAGTGGCCTCACTCCACGTCAGCTCTTCAAGTTCTCGATCATCCGACCAGCCAAGATGTTGTTCCGGTCAACTATCTGCTTCGCCATCTCGCTCTACATTGCGATTACATACGCCTATCTCTACATTCTATTCACCACGTTCACTGCTGTCTTCAAAGGACAATATGGCTGGCAGGGCGGCATTACTGGTCTCTCGTTTCTCGGTCTCGGCATTGGCTCGCTCATCGGCCAATTCACTTACATCCACTACGGCAACAAAGTGGTACACAAGCACATGGCGCGCGGCGACTTCCGACCTGAACATCGGCTGAAAATGATGTGCATCGGCGGCTTCTTCATTCCTTGCGGTCTCTTTATCTACGGCTGGAGCGTGCAATACCAGACGCACTTCATTGTGCCTATCGTAGCAACAGGCATCATCGGGTTTGGTCTGCTGATGACGTTCATGCCTGCGACTACGTACTTGGTCGACGTGTTTACTGTCCATGCCGCGAGCGCCATGGCGGCGAGTACCGTGTTGCGTAGTGTTGCAGCAGCCTTTATCCCACTGAGTAGTCAGACGATGTATGCGCAAATGGGTTACGGTTGGGGTAACACTATGTTGGGATTTATTGCTACGCTACTGATCCCAATTCCGTTCTTGTTCATTAGGTACGGAGAGAACATTCGCGCTAGAAGTACAGTTAAACTGTGAACACATACCATGGACTATAGACTTAGATAGACCCATATACAATAGCAAACCAAATTCCATGCCGTGGTCTTGACACAGAGCTGCGAGTCGGGTCATGATCCACGACTCCCGTTACCTGACTCGTATAGGCTATATGCAGCCTCGGTGTGTACTCCGAAGCCCCACCCAAGGTCTTGCTGAGCAACATTGGAAATACGACGTCAATAGAACCCTGGCCGCGTCTTGCCATAAGTAGAATCCCGGAAGTAGGTATTGATTCCCTAAGTGCATCAATCGTTCCAAGATAACCTCCGTCCTACATCAAAACACGACTCGCTCCGCCGCTCACGGAAAGTAGCAGCTACCCCATCATGACATCCTCACTCCCAGAGTCCAACACCTCTCTCACATATACACAACCCTCCTCCCAGCCACATCTTACACATACACCCATACCAAAGCCAGGTCCCCAAGAAGTCCAAGTGAAGATCAAAGCCGCAGCCATCAACCCCGTCGACATCCAACTATGGGGAAACCCCGTCATCGGCTGGCTAGCAGGCAAGAAGGAGAAAGGGATAGGGCGCGATTACTCTGGCGAAATTGTAGCCCTGGGCGAAGAAGCAAGTAAGAGCGGGAAATGGGAGGTTGGTGACGAAGTCTTTGGATTGTGCAATCGACCTGTAAGTCAATCTTTCGCCTGGCGCGGCTTTCGCTTCAAGACGAAATACGTTGGAACTAACGTGAAATAGATGGCAGAAGGAACATTCACACAATACCTCTCCATCAACCCGACCTCAGAGCCCATCGCAAAGAAACCCAATACCCTTTCCCACCACGAAGCCGCCGCCATCCCTCTAGTCGTTCTAACAGCATTCGCCTGCCTCGACTGGCTCCCCTCCACATCCGCCTCCCCCTCACCCTCGCAACGCCGCGTCATCGTCTCCGGGGCCAGCGGCGGCGTAGGAATGTGGTGCGTCCAACTCGCCAAAAAGCTCTATTCCTGCCACGTAACCGGCATCTGCTCCGGCTCCAACGTCGATTTCGTGAACAGTCTAGGCGCAGACGAAGTCATCGATTACCGCACACAAGACGTGCCCAACTCGCTTCTTTCCAAACGACCCGGCGGCACGAAGTACGACTTGTACATTGATTGTGTGGGTGGCACGGAGATGTTTGCGCATTGGAATGAGTTACTTCATCCGTCAGGCGCGTATATTACTATCGTTGGGGATAAGACTTCGAGGACGGCGATGGGTGGACCTTTGACGTATTTTACGTATCCCTCGCAGGTGATGAGACATGTTTGGGGGTACTTCTTCGGGCCGAGGTATGCGAATGTTATTTTGTATCAGAAAAGTGAGTTGCTGGAGCAGGTCAGGGAGTTGGCGGAGAAGGGCGAGGTAAAGGTTGTAGTGCAGGATGTCGTCAAAGGGATCTTGACGGAGGAAGGGTGTAAGGAGGGTTGGGAGAAGGTTAAGGGGTACATGGTTGAAGGGAGGGTCAGGGGCAAAATCGTTGTCGATATTGCGTAGTTTTAATGATACGATCGAATGTGATCAGTGAACTGGACTAGCAGCGAATTGGAACGATCAATTAAGGCAAATTACCATCTATGTACTATTGGGTGTATCACGCCGGGTATCAAGGGGGGTAATGAGACGCTTGAGCACGTATGCTCAGACGTTATAACGAGGGAAAGAACTGTTAAGGAAATAATGTTGACAGATCCATCAAGGAGATCCTCAAAGAAAGGCGACGCAGATGTAAACCTTGCTCTTTGCCAGAAAACCGCAGCCCGTAGCTAGCCCCTACTCAGCTGTTTGTCGTCAATCCATGGTCCAGTCGTTCGAGTCGTCAATAAAGCTCCCATTACCCAGGTCGTTCAGTCGTTGCCGTGAGACAATCAGTTGTACTTCAGGAATGTCGTGGGCTCCTGCGATGTGGCGGCTGCAGCAGGAATCCTGGCGTCACCGACTGTTGTCTTGGGATATTCACCCGGGACATGCAGGTCGCTAACGCTGATGTCGGTGTTCATCCGCTTGCCCATGCCAGGGTGCGCCATCTCCTCTGCAGTATCTACGAGGCCCACTGGGACGGGCCCGCCGTTGACAGTCTCGCCAAAGGCAGGTGCCCCTACCTCAGACTCGCCTAAAAAAGACGAAGTAGCTCCTGGTGTATCTAACCCGCTTGCATGCTGAGCCTGGCCATCAAAGACAGGTGCGACTATCAGAGCAGGGGTTGGCTGCACAGCAGGGGCTACGTAGCCTGTGTCATCGATCTGATCGGGGAGTATATGGTCAGGATGCCGCTCGGGGACTTGCGTAGGGGTGGCATCTGGAAAGTCTACCGCGCGAGATTGTTCGACTGGATATTGATGTTCTTGGTTGAGCTGCTGCGCCTCGTAGTGTTGTTGCGCCAATTGTTTCTTCCGGAATGCTTCGTTTGCAAGGGCTCCGGTGGCTGCACCCCCAACAGCGGGCGCCATCCAGTTGCCGTAATGAGTACTATCTTTGCGTTGGATAGGCTCAGCATGTTCCAGGGATGGCTGGTTGTACTGGTCGACCGAAGTTGGCTGGACGGGGTAAGCCTGAGAAACGGGGGCGTATGAAGGGTTGTCGACAGTCTGAGGGGCGTATGACTGCTGGGCTGGTACGTATGAATTTGCGAAGCTGGTCTGCTGCTGGTGTTGAGCGGGCTGGGTGAACTGGACGGGCTGGACGGGCTGCGCAGGTTCGGGCTGGTAGGCTGAGGTTTGGGCAAGGTACATCGGGTGCACATCCTGTGTCGGACCTCCAGATATTGTGTTTAGATCATTACCGACCTCTGAACTTCCGCTAGATGGCGATAAAGGCGCTTGTAAGTTACGGTTGACCATCAAATCAGACGGGAATCGCCCACCTGGAGAAGGTCGGGAAGGTCGCTCAGACTGATCCCGGTAGGCCTGTTCCTTCATGGACTGGTTGGCTGAGAAAGGAACCGCGTCTGCCTCGTCTTCCTCTAGTCCGCCATCCGAGCTGGCTGAACGGGCGCTGCCGGCGCTGGTGCTCCTGACGCTTGCATGGCGACGGACAAAGGCGTTGCGCTCTTCTCCACTCTTCTCAGTCAAGGCCTTGATATCTTCAAACCATGCGACCATGGTGTCGTACGTCTCCGCCCGGAACACCCAAGTATGGCCACGATGCATGGATCCAGCCTGACGGCCTTTGATAACGAACTTGTGGGAGGAACTTCCGGGCTGGGAGCGAGAACCAAGCTTCTGGTCTGGCAGATATAGGGACATGACTGGAGGCTGAGTGTAGATGCGGTCGGCCGATTTGAACTCGTGGAGATGCGTTGGCGACAAGACGTACCTAGAAAGTGTTAGACGGGAAAGGTTGTCAAGATTGAGTTGCTTACCATCCTGGTGTGTAGGACTTCAGATACTTGCTCTTCCGCTCGAGCATACCCGCTCTGACCTCGGTGGTAGCAGGGTGGTGCTTGCCAGGGTACTGGATATCTTCCAGTCTGCGCAACGGCATGTCTGGGTTGACGAAGTGAGGGTCGCTTCGCACAAACCTGCTCCATTCGAGATCGCGTGGCATGGCGATTGGGCCATTGCGCAACCGCTCTACCGTGTTGTACTGCTCATCGGCATCGCGCTTCAAGATGGTAGCAAGAGCGTTGTAGGCTTTCTGGACTTCGCCAACGACGATCGACTCGAGTTCGCGGCCGGAATTTTCAAGGTTGAGGTAAGCCTGTATACGTTAGTTGAGTCGCCCCTACACGTGCGATAACTGACCCTGTGGAGGTAGTTCTCCTCATCGATCTGCCTCTCTACTTGGCGCTCGACACCCAGACGCACGACATAGGGATCTCCCTTGCCTGCAACTGCCGTGGGGTCGGAGTCGGCCAAAGCCAGCGCCTCCTCAAGTGCGGTTACACACTTCCTTGTGGTCTCCTTTTCCTTCTCGACGTTGTTCTTGAAATCACCAGACAGTGACTTGATCTCCTTGATCTTCTGCGCAAGATCAGCCCTGAGGCCGCTGAGCTGGTTGATGACATCGGCCTCAACGTCTCGTGCCTTGTTTGCCTCGAGGATGGCTTGCTTGTGGAAATCGCGGAGGATGCGGTTGGCGTCGTTCAGGCCTCCTTCTATGAGGAGAGCGGCGGGGGCGTTCGTGTTGTTGATGACATTCGAGACCTTCAACAGCGATTTGGCGCGGTGTTCGTAAGAGGATGCGACTTCGCGGAAGTAGGTAATGAGGTCCTTGAGAAACTTTCGCCAAGCTGTCAGGTGTCAGTAGGTTTCACGGACCTGTCACGTGCCCAACATACTCTGGAAGCGTTCTGCTAGTATCTCGGTGGGGGTGCCCTTGGTCGGTACAGGAGTGTAGAAGACACTATCCTCGCGATCGTAGCCATGCTCCTGGTCGTCAATGGTGACACCACGTATCGAGCCCGCATGCATGGATCTCCTGCTTCCACTACGCTTCATGCTGCTTGCCCTCTTCACAGAGTTCTTCTTCTTGAGCGTGCCACTTCGCGAAGGCGTGGCGCCCTGGTTCAGGGTGGAGGAGCGCGAAGACGAGCGCTGGTGCATATCACCGTCGATGACGGATGAACCACGTGTGCGCGCATCGAAGTCCTCCTCGAACCGCCCCAGACGCGAGCGCTCATTTGGCGCGCTTAGTGGTGAGTTTCCAAAGTCATTCACAGAGGAGGTGCCGTAGCCGCGGCTGAGATGGGCCGGGTCGTCGATGTGCGGTACGGGGTCGTATGAGGCCGACGGGGTGACGGGTCGCTGGGTCGCCATGGTGGGAGCTGCCTGGTCGTGGATATTGGCTGCGGCGACGGTAAGGTAGACCCTGACGAATATATGTAAGAAGACGTTCGCAAACCAACCCTGAGCCGCGTTCGCTGTGGCTGGCGATGACGTGTGGAGTCGCGCTAAGGGGTGAGATGCCTCGGAGGGGTCGAGGCGCAGATTGCGAGAGCCCGAACCGACATGGCGCCGCAGATCAATCAATACTTACTGCTCGGAGTGCAATTGTGTCGCAAACTGCTCAGTTCGACGGATTTAATGTGAGCCTGAGGGTGCTTGTAATGTCGAGAGGCAGATGCCGGATGTGAAGAATAAAACCATGGCCATCCGCGGCGGCTTCGCGGCACTGAAGAAGCTCACAAAGATGCTTAGGTGATGTCATGTTCCCTTCAATGCTACGCCCTCAACACCATCCGGACATGATCGTCATCGTGCAGCAGTGCCCGACCCTTGAATCGTGTTAGTCTGTGGCGCGGCTGTTACACTTCGGCCTATCATGACTTGCTTGCATTTCCATCCATTGCGCCGTTACTTGCGCCCGTCACATTGATTGTCCTAGCAGCTGTCACATGCAGGCTCGCGGAACACGTAGGCGACACAAGAGGGGCTTCGTGGCCTGCCAACTTCTTCACTTTGTCAATGTTAGTCTCGATAAAGCCTCTCGGTGACTGTGCAGCCGTATCGTCCGTCGCCACTTCCATCGCCGCTGGCCAAACACGTGGAGATTCAATGTGGGGAGAGCACAGCCGAACGTGCCGACCCAAGTCTGCCCAGCGATTTGCATTCATCCTTCCGCAGATCAATGCAGCGCGGCGGCAATGCCGAAATCTTTTCTCCGTCTTGCTGCCCTGCGAGCTGCGCGTCTCTCGTGGGACCTATCCCATTTTTTCCAGGGGTCCTCTCGTATCCAACCCTCTAACACTAGTTGGACCCCGTAGCATCACTAGCCTACCACGAAGTAACCCAGCGGGAAGCATTGTGGACTGCACTGCCCCTTTGCCGTCATTGGTCATCTCCGGTATTGCCCTGAAGGGCGAACAAGATGCAGTGTGTCGGTGGTTATGTATCACAGTTGTTCCGCGTACCCAAGTACAACTGCAATGGCCAGCCCAATCAAGACCATAACAATGCGATAACGAGAGATATCCTCATTGACGATCTGTTCAGTACTCGGGTCCGCAGCTCCTTATCTCACTCCGGTTGATCGACAACTACAAGAAGAGACGGATGCCAGACATGAAGCATGCTTTCGAAGGGAAATGGAACACCCGTCTTAGTAAGTAGCCCAGAAGTCTAAATTGCTTCAAGACGCTCTCAATTTTCGTTTTTTACACTCATGTAGTCGGCAGTGCATCTGTTTAGTTTCTTACTTGTAAAAGGCGGAAGCACCTAGTCTTGCAGAGAGAAGAGCTGGAGAAGTAAGACACGGGCGTGGTCAATACGCTGCATTGGGTAGGCATGAAATAAATGAAGTGAAAGCAGTGGCGAGGTGTCACAAGATCGTTTGCATGCCGCGACGGGGCGTGAGGCACAACAACAGTGCGGCGCGCCATGGAAGCAATGATATTCAGAGCTCGAATTTGAGGCTTTGAGGAAGGCTGTCGATGTTCTCGGTAGTTTCGTTTATACCGCTTCTATGTGAGTAGTAGACTGGAGGTTTCAGGTCATATTCCGATTATACCTCCACCACAAGAAGCCTCTACACGTAACTACGTTCTACTGCATTTCCAACGTAATGCTCGATGCGATCATCGCTAGCGGATATCTCGCTTCCAGGAACCGGTCATGTGTCTTTTTACTCACGGGCCTCAATCGCGAAGAGTATATTAACCGGCCACACACAAACACCTACTGCCAAGCACTGACTTTGGGTACGTGGTTGCACAAAACCATCTATTGCGAAACAGCATATATGACTGCTAGAGTAAATGGATAATGCTCAGGTTTCATTGGTCTTATTTCATGACTACCGACAGCAGCCACCTCTGCCGTGGTGGAAAACAAGTCTGGGGCGCACAGAGAAATCTTGGAGGCTCTTTAGCGAAGGCTTGCGTGTGGCGTTGTTATATTGCAGCCCAGCGACTGAGATGGACGATAGACAGGTAGAAGCGTCATACTGCTGATACTCCAGGGACGCGCGGGAATGGGCGTAGGAGTTGGCTGGGATATATAAAGAGAGGCACGACACCCAGTGACGGCATCTCATCCGCATCTTCAACTTGATACTCGACCAGTACATCTACACTACTCCTTTTCCGCCCAATATGAGGTTCCTCGCTGTCGCCGTTGCTCTGCTGCCCGCCCTTGGGTCAGCGCACACTATCGCTCAGCGCGTCCGTATCAACGGCCAAGATATGGGCCAAGGCAACGGTATCCGCGTTGCCCCTTCCAACAACCCCATCACCAATGTCAATGACGGCAATATCGCTTGCAACTCTGGTGCCTCTTCCTCTAGCAAAGTAATCGACGTCAAGCCTGGAGACAAAGTCGGCGTCAACTGGGGCCACGTCGTCGGCGGAGCACAGTAAGTCGTCCTGTTTTTGATCATTCCGCAAGGAAATTGCTAACTCTTCCAAGATTCGCTAACGATCCCGACCACCCGATTGCGAAGTCTCACAAGGGGCCTGCCATCTTTTACATGGCAAAGGTCTCTAATGCCGCTAATGCGTCCCCCTCTGGTCTCCAGTGGTTCAAAGTCGCTGAGGACGGTCTCGACAGCTCTGGAAACTGGGGCGTCGACCGTATGATCAACAGCGGCGGGTGGACGGAGATGACGATGCCATCTTGTGTTGCCCCAGGCCAGTATCTTCTCAGGGCTGAGATGATCGCACTGCATAGCGCAAGCACGACCGGCGGTGCGCAGTTCTACATGGGCTGCGCGCAGATTAATGTCTCGGGATCTGGATCGAAGATTGGCAGCACGGTCAGCTTCCCTGGTGCCTACAGGGCGGACGATGCGGGTATCAAGCTCAGCATCTACAACGCCCAGGGTCAGCCCAAGGGCAACGGAACGCCTTACAAGATTCCTGGTCCGGCGAAGCTTCAATGCTAGAGCAATAGCATGTCAAACCAGGTAGAAACTGAACACCATGGAGCCTACGTTGCCACAAAGTTATCTGTTTTGCTTCCTTTGTCCTAATGTAGTCTGCAGACCTGTTCGGGTTTTTTTCTTAGATGAGGTGATAGAAGAGGCCGAGTGATTTGGATGGGCGTGCGCAGTCGGAGGTAATTCTGGGGCTTTGGGATTTTTTGCGAGCATCTTTACGACCTTCTATGTACATACTGTAAGGGTAAAATTGGGCGATAAAATGCTGGTGGCCGAGTAGCAATATCCAATCAATGCGTCACCGAGAACAAAAGTGGTATGTGATGGTGATGTGATGTGTCGTTACAGTCATGCGCTCGTGCCTAGGCTGTGCAAATGTACGGGCTGGTCGCACAACGGTAAACGGTGAGTGAGGCTTGCATGTACCCCGCTTTAGGCGCGTTCACGGAGGAAAATGCAAAAGCACAAAGAGATAGAGTTAATACCTAAGTAGAAGTTTAAAACAGTTGTAACTATGTCTAAGCTACATGCATCTAAAAATCTTGCGCTTCTCGCAGCATTCTAAACAGCGTTGCGTTCACAGTTGTCTGTGAGTGTAAGACGATGTATGATTGTGACGATGCTTTCTTGTGCCGCATTCCACCGGTAGATGGGCGGTTAGCGGACATGGTCGTGGGTGGGCGCCGGCCCCACCACCCAACAAAATTCTGCGTTTGAAGAACCACTTAGCCAATGAATGAAGCCGTTCATTCGGACGTGTCTGGTGGTCTAGACAAGTCCAGGTAAGGTTGTATTTACCTCACTGTGGTCCCATTTGCCCAAGTAAGTCCCCAGTGACCAACTTTTGAACAAGGATATAAGTCTTGCTGCTGAGCTATCTTCCATCAATCATCACAACCACAGGAGTCGTGCCAGAGTGGTTAATGGGTATGACTCGAATAAGCTGTTCGTTTAGAGCAGCTTGAATAGATATCATATGCCTTCGGGCGCGCAGGGTAAGAAATCACTTCTCCACAACTACACATCCACAAGACAAGCAACTAACAAATTCAATTCAGTTCGAATCCTGCCGGCTTCGCTTCTTTTTGCCCTTTCATAATATCCTGTAAGGTTTCCTGAAGGATAGGAATAGTTGTGGTGGAGATAAAGGGGAGAATTGAGACTTTTTGCGCACAAAACCACCATTTCTTGACCGATTTTGAATCTGAGACATGCAAACACTTCTACAATACGAACACATTCATTTCAGCACAACTAAATGCTCATACCTAGGTGTGGGGGTAAAACACAATTTTTGGTCATGTGAGACTTGGAGGGCTCACAGACCCCACTTCGGCCGTCGTACGCAGTGCGCAACTTCAATCCTTCCACAACGTTCAAACAGAACCATCAATCTCTTCGCTCCGCTAATGCTCTAGGATGTTAATGCGCATCGTATTCTCTTTGCCTCAGGCCATCGCATGCTGATTTTCAGACTCCGGGGGTGTAAGCCTGGTCCCTTGAGAGGGCGATCGGCATTCACATGCTACTCACGAGCTCCTCGCCGGGTGCGTCAACTTAACAATGCATGCTTTGATCCATACCGAAAGGGAGGGCGACGCGACGCACGGATGGCACAGTATGCCTGCTTGGATCGCTCGCTGACGAAGTCATTGTAACACGCTTGAGGAGACATACGCGCGTGTTGAGCGAGGCATGTGATTTTAGCACAGGCTTGCGACCTACGGGGAGAGCGCAACTGCCGCAAACTCTGCCCACGGCGGAGCCTCTTACCTACAGCAAGCTTTTTAAAGAAGGGGAGCTAAAACATAGAACACCCTGTACCCGACAGACTTACCACGACCCTCGTTTTGGGTGATATACCGCCATTGATAGTTACAGTCGGTGCATCATCAAACATCTCGGTACTTTTGTATGAAGGGAACAGAACTTCATTGTGCTAACAGGGCCAAGGGAATGAACAAGCAGACGACACCCACGGGAACCATCCCGAGGTCAGCTTCGTACAATATTCTTGTGCGGGCAGATGCTACTTTGCTCGCGTACATAATTTCCGTACCTTGGCCGCGGCAACAGTTGAGTGAGATGTTCAGCCCTACATCTTCTCGCAACAGTAATCAGTATATAAGTACTGAAGTGGCCCGGCAGACAATCGACATGTTGCTTTTTGCAATTCCCCCAGATCGCTAGATTGTATGCAACAGAAATGACGTCCGCTCGGTCTGATATCCAGGTCAAAGGCCAAAATCGCCGTAGTCGCAGGCCACCTCGCCGCAGCGTCTTACGTCCGCTACCTCAACCAAGCCAATATCCCGCATACTATCATCTGGACGCATGGTCAGCAGAGATACCGCGACGAGCTCCCGTGTGCGTGGCTGGAAGAGGACAGTCCTGGCAGCGTCACTCGGTTGACCGTCGGCGCTCCGCACCCCGAAGCATTCCAACGCAACCGCAGCGTGTATCCCACCCCTACGCAGCGTGCCATGGCATTCAGGGAGCGAATGCTCGACTATGTCACTGACAAGTGGTACGGTGCGCCGCATCTCTCAGCGTTCCTATCGAGCGCGCAATACTATTTTAACGTCAACTCTGGAATGATACTACCCATGCATTTGTTGCAGGCAGTCTTGTCTAGCGAAGACCATGCGCAAGACATACGACTCGAGCAACCCAGCAAGATGAGGAGCGCACTGATGAAAATCTTGATCAAAAAGCACGACGAAGACATCACCGAAGCGCAAGTCGACGCAATCCGAAGCATCAGGATCGCGTGCAACGTCGACCCAGCGGGTGGCCCCATACTATGGGAGAGTCAGTACTCAAAGGATAGATACGAGGGGTATGTCACATTAACCTTAAACTTACTAATACAAGAAGCGAGGCTAGCGCGGGAACATTTACAAAGTCTCGAATTGTACCGCGTGTACGTTCTATCGCGACTGCCTTATACTACTCACTGACCAGATGCTGGAGTAAATAGTCGGGCTACGGTAACGCCGCTCCTTCCTCATGCCTCACGGTTCTGGCTAAGTGGACCTCGGGATGCTGAGGTAAATGGTTGGGTTCGATGACAGCGCTCCTTCCTCAAGCCTCATGGGTGTGACCAACCAAGCCTTACTAAGCTCCCACTTATCAAATAGAGCATCTCACTTCCTGTCAACTCCCCCGCTCCCTCGATCATACGTCCGACAATGCCACCAAAGAAAGGACAAGACAACAAGAAACCTGCTCGAATACCTGCTCGAACACCGCGCCAGCAGAGCAACACATTGACGACTACACCCTACAGCGTATCAGCTCCGCCAACGCCTACCGAAGTTTACGACGAGGGAGAGAACGACTTCAGCATCAATGTCCATGCCAGTCTCATGGAAGACGACGATATCAGCAGCGCAGATGAAGATATCGCAGCCAATATCCCACAGGGGTGTGCCATTAGCGACAACGATCTACTTGACGACCTGAGCCCCACCGACATCGAGGCGCTTGTCCAGCGGCTTCTCCCTGGCATTTGCCAGCAAGGTAAGCTACACGTACTCGTACAAGATGTGATGTACTCCGGTGTACTGACTTTATGCTTGCAGATGTCCAAGACTTTTTAGCCCAGATTACTACACACCATTCGCCGCCCTTTACTATACCACGCCACGAACGCGAACCTAGGAGCTGGCCCTCAACGTACGAAGAGTCGGACCTGTTGTGGGAAGAGGGAGCCAAGGCTGAGCGAGCAATCAAGCTGCCTGTCGGGACCAATATGCCGAAGTGGTTGGACATGGCAGAGGATCAGCTAGGTAAGTTTTCTTTGGTACTTGGGATCTAAAAGGCGGCTGAACTAACTGTGCCCTTGCAGTCAAGTACACAGGGAGCATCCAAGACAGCCTGGTTCTAATCACATCCTATCCAACAGCACGCGTTGGCAGTACGGTGCACGCCTCCTACGGGACGACGATGGACCTCTCCAATATATCGATGCTAATGCTCTACTCGAAGTTGGGACTGCACCTGAAATCATTCCGACCGACCGGCGCCCTCCACATCAACGCTTTCCCCCGTCGCGTTAATAGAAAGACTGTGCCAACAGGCTAAAAGGTTCTAGAGAAGCTTCCGGCTGTCCTACGCAATTACTGGTGGTGTGTCGCCCAGGAATGGCTGGCAAGATCGCAGGCTAAGATCGCCCTACTTGTCGGAGCAGCTGCAGTCACTACCTATCTGTCCTACCTAGACGCGAACCATGTTCAGCACCAACAAATATGGTTGGCTGGTGGCAAAAATGTAAGCTATAACTGTATGAACTGCACATGAGACACATACTGACTTCGTACTTCTATAGGAGTACCAATCAAGCAAGACGCCACCGTGTTGGATCGAACACGACAAGGACAACAATATCAAGCGCATCGCGTTCTCAGTCCCGCACCCGGAGTATTTTAACCGCTACCGCGGCACTGTAGTCACTCATACGATGAGAGCCAATGCGCTTAAAGAGCGTTGGATTGACTACGCGATGGTGAAGGTCTGGGGCACGGCACATCTGCAAGGCTTCCTCAGCTCAACAAAGTACCGCTTTCAGACCACAACGGGTATTATTCTGCGCATTTCTGACTTCGAGAACTACGGCGCAGACAACACCACACTTCGCACGATTCTCAGTATCCCCAACTTAAGCAATGCCACTCTTAACGTCCTCCTTACCGGCTACAAGAAGATAAGCAAAGAGGAGGTTGAAGGGATCAAGGCGATGCGGAAGACCATGGAGGTCGAACTCACGGAGAAGCCATCATACTGGGATAGAGCCGAAGTCATCGACCGATACGGCAATCATGCGTTGACTTTCAGATTGATCGCAGAGCGGCGGGAGGGGCCGAGGCAATCTACCAAGCCCAAATCGCAACCCCTTGCATTATCGCTACATGAGATTGAAGGAAACCCCTTCCTCACACGATATAACACCACGGTCGCGGACCTTCTCGCGAAGGAAGAGACCAAGAAGCAGAAAGCGCGCGAGCGGAGGAGGAAGAGGAGAGCAGTTGAGATGGAGGGCGAGGACGAGTGGTGCGAAGGTGATAATTCATAGGGCGCTATCCTGGACGTCTTTCTCTGCTTGCGCGTTATTCGAGCAAGCGGCTTGTCTTCTTGTGACTTCTTTGGTGGCATTGTAGCGCTAGCCTCGAGTGAGCGGGCCACTTACGGCAGAGGACAGAAGGCAAATGAAGCACCGATCTCACGAACACGGTCTCTACAGAGCAGCGATGCGCCTTTAGCTAACAGTCGCACTTTCCGACCCAGTGCCAGCCGCAAGCGCACGCCGCAAAGCGACGATGATTCATCCGACTACGCGAACACGGAGTCCCACGAAGGGCGAGAAGAGGGCAAGCAAGATATGGAAGAGCAAGAGGAGGCATCGCTGGAAGAAGACAACAGTATACCCGCAGATAACGAGAAAGATGATAATCACGAAACCTAGCATATCATCCGCCGCTGCTCTATCACCGATGCGGCGCTCTTTGGTGAGATAACTGTCCAACATGTCAAGAATTTCGTCAAGCGTATGGTGCCTCAGCTGTCAAACACCAAACTTGACGCTTTGAGAAAGAGATTCGCAAGCGTTTAAACTCATCTCCATCATACTTGGTACCGGCCAAAGTACGCGACTCGACAGATTAGCCATCAACGTATGATGACATGGATATGGTCTGGCGACATGCGCATATTGGGGAAGAGGCAGTTACGCTAAAGAAGATCCCAGTTTGGCTCACCATGGGAGAAGAGAATCTGGAAGAGCCTTTACGCTCTCTACGCGACAGTCTCATGATCATATCGTCATAATCCACTACCGATGGAAACTGTACTATTCATCGTCGATAAGGAATTGGCCTGAACTGATCCAATCTCCACATAATACTACTCTTCGCTAAAATCAGTCTGTATCTACTATCTCTCCAACAACACAGAGCCTTGCACGTACATTTAATGACTCGTCGCATCGACCGGAAGCGGATAACCAGCGGTACGACTCCGAGTCCCCAGTGGGATGACTTGAATTCGATGAGCAGAAACAGACTGTGAGGCGGCTCAGTCTAGCGGTGTACCAATCAGAGTCATTTGACAGAGATCGAAGTGTCCCTGCACCAATAAGAAGCATCGGTTCGCCATTCGGAGAAGCTTATCGACTACACTATCATACTGCTATGGAATCAAAAGCATCTTCAGACGTCCATGTCATTCTGAAAAGCCTATTTCTGTCTTCCTTATCCGATCGCATATGCTATCCTCATACAGACTGCCGTTGGCTTCGTTGATACATATGTAGACTGTCGCAACCCAAGCCTCTCAGTCCACCCCGACTAACAACCCAAGCCTCAACGCAGCATAAAACTATCGCCTCATGCAAGGAAGAAACCGAACTCACACCCTGGAGCCTACATCAGCGTCAGGCTACCCACTTTGTACATTTTTATCTTAATGTAGGCTGCAGGCCTCTTTGGGTTCTCATTGTATAAGGTGCGATGGTCAAGACAGCAGGCACGATCAGAGCGAGAGCCGAAGCAAAGGAAAGGTCAAACGATCGATGGAGCGATATATCGAGGTAGTGAACCAGGCGCTTCTTGATAGCGGTGCCACGCATCTCGTTACCCAGACAGCGATAACTGATCCTCTGATTCGGTCGAAGTACTGGGGATACGCGACAGAGAAAGAGACGCGCGTCATATGGTCTATCTGCTCTATTGTTGTACATTGAATCCACTCCGTGGGCACCTCCGCTTGATATCGTTCGGATCTGTGCGGTCATAAAGCCCGGTAGGGTAGGTGGTGCTCCTCTTCCTAGGTAGTTGCTTTATATAGACATCAACCCCTGCATGCTCGATAGTAAGACCGAACTTAACCCTCGTCACATATTACCAGGTTACGATCAAGTCGTCTTAGTATGACGTCAAGATGTAGTGACCTATGTTATGGAGAGTGAGCGTGGTGCTATACTCGTGACGAATAGTGTTGATCGGGGGAGCAGTGGGGTGTGAGGAAACGATCAGTAGGTTGTCCTTGTCGCTTCCTACAAACTCGACGAGCGTTTTCACCGGCATGTCGAGCCTGGAGGGCATTTCGATACCAGCGAGGAGCTTAACAACCTGTTCCCCTTGCACAACCATATCCCAGAGTCTGTCTATTTCATCATCGAAAGAAGGCTAGGTCGTCAGCTATCTGTCCTGCGATGAGATGAGGAAGAGCGGACAAAGCTCTGCGTATGAACGAATCTCGACTTGGAAGCTTTCCTGACTAGACAACACTGGCTGTATTCACTCTCATCGAATGATAGCTCACCAAACAACCCTTTATCTGCAATAGACCATCAATAGATGGTGCCGTCATTGGGGACCTTCATCGCTGGGTTGGCTATCGTCACTGCCGCCGGTGACTACAACGAGACTTTCCTGCTCCATCCCTCAGCCACAAGAAGCCTCGGAGCATACAGTGTAGTCTGTCGTACTAGTCCGTCACCGTAAACCCCAGCGAACACCTCCAGGGTACAACATCAGGCCTAGCTTCGACCCAGCGAACTCTCTGGTAGCGAACAATACCAAACATCTAGAAAGCTCGGATTCGCGTTTCCAATTCCCAAAATGCCTACCACATAACGCCGCGCCTTCAGTTTCGTTTCAGATCCCAGGACACATCAAAGCAGCGAAAGAAAAAGAAAAACCACCGAATCCTTACCTCGGCTTTACAAGAGAGCCACAATATGCACGAGAGAGTCAGTATCAACCGCAACGGCATCAACGGCATAACGAACTCTCGCTGTCAGCCCAGAAACGCCCAGATGCCATGGCCTTCGCACATGGTCTCCAAATGCCGAAAGCCTTCATTTCCCAGCACATGTAACAAACGCACCGACGCACATAATCCCCGTTGAAGGCCAAAGCAAGTGCGAGAACAAAAAAGCACGCATGTCAAAACATCAAGACAAACCGACCCTTCTTTCCCTCTCTGGTCGGGAAATTTGTCGATACCCTCGGGGAGATCACGGGTCCGCACTCTCAGCCTCACGGCGACAGCGAAAGGGAAACGAGCAAGGACGGAGGAGGGGTGGTGAAACAAGAAGGGAGGCCGAAATCGCCGAAGTCTTTCCCCACCTTTTGCCGTACCCAGCCACACATGGACTACGGGCACCTCGGAGTCGGCTCTTTCACGAGGCAATTTCACGCATCAAAGTGCGGAGAAAAAAGGCGGTCAAGTCTGTCTGGGTCACTTTGGTTTCAATCTTGCCTTGGGTAGCACTGCGCTGCGTTGTAGGTGCGTTTCAATCCCAATTCGCGTGACCTCGAGCCTTTCTCGAAAAGGGTGGTGATTAACTGGGTGATCGACGCAAAAGTATGGGGAGGGGGAGGGAGATGTATGTTCATTGGTGGTAGTTGTACAGCGCTTTAATGGTGATGTGCAAGGCTGAGGCTGAAAATGTTGGGCTAGTGTGGCTAGGGGAGGCTGGGGCATCGCGAGGGCTCGCGTGACACACAACCATGTGCAATAACTGGTGCACAGAGCTTGAATAGCATGGTATGTTGATGACGTTGGTTGTGTGGCTGTGGGGATAATGCTCGTAATGGCGGTTAGTCACCAAGTTTGTAGGAGTAGTTGCAAGTCTGCTTCGCGTGTCACAGTAGACATATCATGTAATGTGACTGATTTTGATTGGCGGAGGTGGTAGATAGAGTAGCTAGAAAATGGGGGGTGCTTGTTGGCAGGGTGGCTACATGGCGACAGGCAAGAGGAGCACACATGGGGATAGGGAGCGGCAGGACAGGAACTAATGCCCTCAGGTAAAGGAATGGCTTGGACGAAATTACCGTCCGTAAACAAAGAACAAAGACAAGAGAGCGACCGTGGTGCTCTTGTGCGCCAAATGGAGTTATAAGTGACCCATTCAATTGCCCGGTATCTAACACCCCACAAACGCCCAGTTGAGGAAACAAGAAAAGGTTGGATATAACACAAGAGAGGTGAAAAGATTCTTCGGTGCAGCCGCCACAAATCTTTCTTTATCCTCGTCAAATGCTGATCTGCACAACGGTATGGTGGTTCCGTCGTGTACTGAATAGTAACGGGCTAAATCGCAAGATGATTCTTACTCTCGTCGTCAAAGCGTGATTGCGCGCACCGTGGTGCGAGACATGGTAGTGAAGGAGATTAGGTAGTTGCGTAGTCAGGGTATGGAGGTGTTCGTCAGCGACGCCAGTCATGAGAAAGGGTCGACATGAAGAGCGCACGTGTTGCGCCAATTGCCCTGTTTGAGGCACTTATACGTTGGTAACCTAATGGAGTGTCAGTGAGTGGCGTATCGTCAGGCGGCATCGTGGATCGCATACCTTCAATATCCGCCTCGAGTAGTCCTCGTTGTCTGCAATACTGCCGTTGCTCTGCCTCCGGTCGACGAAGCTCGGGTCCAGACGCGAGTCGTTCATGGACGAGTTGCTGGTGTGTAGCTTGCCGCCGTTGACGAAAGCATTCACGTTGGCGGCATTGCGACGGTAGTCTTCTTCTGCTTGGTGCTGACGTCTCCGGCGGAGCAAGAACCATACACCGAACATGATCGAGGCAAGGGCTAGTATGCCGACGACTACGCCCACTGCGATGGCGATTGTGTTTGGTTTGCCGTCTTCTTCGGGCGCCGCAGATGGAGTGGCCGAAGCCTGGGCGGCACCGGTTGATGTCGGAGCAGCGGACGACGGTTTTGGTGCTACTGAGCTGCTGCTCTCTACTTCGGGCTCGTAAAAGTCGACTGGGTTCCTAGTTGTTCCCGTGAGAACGACCCATAACTTGTCCTTTCCACCACCTAAGCACTGTCAGTTGGGAGCGAAATAACGGAAGGTTGTCAGCTTACAGGTCCATGTCTTGTCGCCGCTACACGTGGTGCCACATGTCTCGTTCTTAATCTGCCAGTCTTTGGCGGGAATCTCGTCACCACACCAGCATTCTTCGCCGTTCGACAGGCCCATAACGGGCTTGTTTTGCTCAATGCAAACGAGTTGGCAGTTGCCAGGCGACTGGAACTTGAAAGCGCCGTGGTTCTCGAGTGGGATTCCGGTCTCGAAACAACCGATGCTCACCATGGCACTTGCTCCTAAGGTCTTTGTCGGTGTGGTGATAGGGTCCGTGACGGTCGCCCATGTTGGCGTTGGCTTCTCTTCCGCGGCGGCCATCATGACCATCGAGGCCGCGGCCAGGACGGAGGCAAGTCTGATGTAGACCATTGTGGTGATGTGCTTGGTTGGTTAGTAGTGCGCGTCGCACAAAGGGCTATATGCAGAGGCGTCGACACATGCAAGGCCCTGTGGGCGTGGATAGGTCGGGCGGTCCGAGTCGGCGGCGGTGGTGATGGTGGTGAGAGAGGTCGTTGTTGGGGTTCGGCGTGGATGTAAGGCTGAGTGGATATGGGGATGGCGGCGGAGATGGAGTCGTCAACAGGCGCGATGGACTGGGACTGGAGGCTCGATCAACGATGCCCAGGGCCGTCTGGTGGTGTTGAAACGGGGGGCGTCGTGGCAGAAGTCGAGGCGATGAAACTTGTCGGCTGCCCCTTGGAGAAAACCCCCGTAGAGTGACGCAAAAGGAATGAATCGACGGGAGATGGGTTCTGGGTAAAGAGAGTGTAGTGATGCGATAAAACGATTGTGGGTGTCGACGATTGACAACGTGAAGCAGACAAACGAGAGGAGGCTCGGGCCCTGAGAGTGGATCGCAGTGAAGAGAGGACAGGAGAGTGCGCCCCAGTTAGGACAGGCAGGCATGCAGCCAGGAGCAGGAGCCAGCCTTGGCAATTAGCCTGTGCCTGCGTCTGACTGCCGCCATCTTTAGCCCACCCGCCCTGTAACTTTGGACAGCGCATGCATCTAAATTGCAGCGCGTCCTCCAGCTCCCCTCGCATCTCCTGCGCCAAAGTCTATCCTCGCGGTATTCACACCTGCCTTCACGGCATGCATCCAGGGCCTCGTGTGCGCGACAGCCTGTCACGACGTCGGCCCAGCTGGGCAAGGCGCCGGCCCACTAGTGTCAGGAACGGCGCCGCCATTGGCCGCACGCTGTTTCATGCTTGCCGGGGGGCGGCAGGGGTGGTCGCAGGCTAACCCAGGACCGCGCGGTCAGGCACTAAAGCGACTCAAGCGCTCGGCCAGAGGGTGTCGCTGACGTTGCGATACTCAGGACGCGCACGATGCTTTTTTGCGATGGATGCCAGGTCGAGAACGTTCTCGCGCTCCACTACTGTGCTGTTGGGACTGCCTACCATCGTGGAAGGCGGGAGTGGGACGCGGCCACGGTCGAGTCGCGTCTCCCATGTGGAATCTCATTTAACTAACATCCGGAATCTGGAGCATGGAAGCCGTTGTCCGCTCTATCCGAAATGCGAACACCACAGTCTAGACATGCGCGGCCCGACACAATCGCGATGAAAGTTTAAAAAATGTGAGGTGAGCATAGCGGAGGTTGCACGCACTCTGGCCCGAGAAAAAGCAGCATGCACGACATCTGCATCGTGATTAAGCGGCCCAGTATCTCAACAGTGACCGTTGTGCCTCTCCATACAGCGCCACATACACTGAACCTCCAACGGCTGAGTTAGACACATGTCAAAATGCTTGGGTGACCTGAGACACGAGCGGGACGCAGCCGCATCGTGCAAGCTCGTCCTAAGATTCATGCTCGTGTCAAGATTCCCCAGGTTTGTAGCAAGTCGCGCCAAGTCGCCGCCGGACTGCAGTGGTACCGGATTCCAAGGCCCCTCCGATTTCGTGATGATGCGCTTAGTCACCCACGTCACGTGCATCTCCCACTTCCCGATCGGGACGCGTGCTCAGCATCGACCCAAGCTTCACCAGGGCCTCCGATGACCAGCCACGCTTAATGCGCCGTCCGCCCGTTGCCTGTCGCCGAGCAGTGCAATCGCTCCAGTCTTCCTCCTCCCAGCACATATGGATCTCTGACGACCTCCTCACCGGCGCCCTCAATCGATTTTTCCCCAGTTCGTGCCCGCAACAGAAGCGCCATGGGAGCCACGTTCCGGGGCCATTGGAGGCCAAGAGGAGGGCAGCAAAGCGCCGAATGACTGTCTCAGCGGGCTTCTACCCTCAGGGAAACTTTGCGCCACTGTTCAATCTCGGTGCGCTTTTTGGCTTCCGCAAAGATGATCCGCCCACTTGGAGATACGAAGCACCGTCTTTACAAACCCATGCAGAGCCATTGACTTCGCGTACGTTGCGCAGCGCATTCTCCATATACACTCAGCTAATATCGACAGCAGCTCAGCATGTTCCAAGCTTGCCCATAACGCAACCCAACCGTACATCCACCGAGCACGCAGCTTCGACGCCTACCGCTTCTACATTCGGTGCCCCATACCCTTTTTCGCAGAATACTTCGCAAGATAAATCCCAGAAACATCTGAGCAGATCAGGAGAATGCACAGTCGATGCGCTGGATCCTGAGGCGCATTTTGACGGCTTCAAGACAAAGATCGCAAACGCTGGAACTTTGCCCAGTGCCGAACGCGCCCGACTACTACATCAGAGCTGGATATCATGTCGCCCAGCCACCAATATCGATTGGGTCTACAACGTCATGGTGATCAAGCATCTGACGGAAAATCGCTGGGATCACACGCGCATCCTTTCCAGCCTCAAGTTTTTCAATCTACCCCCCACGTACACGCCTGAGAGTCTCGACCTCCTCAAGTGTCTGGAAACGTCCGGCGCGTATCTACCGCATGCCTCCCGTGTCCACCGCCGCGTATATTCCAAGATGATAGAAGCCGCTACATCAGCTGCAGATTCAACAAGCTCATTACAGGATACCCAAGTACTCACACTGATCCGGTCAGCCCTTCGCAGCTGTTCCTACGTCACCGAAGCCGGTCAAAGTGCTGTAGGCGATCTTTGCTTACTTGCGGACAAGATCGAGGCTTCGAACTTGAGAAACGCGACACGTTCTTTGCTGGCCGATTTCGACAACGCAGAAAAAGTCATCATGTTGATGATTGCACGCGCTTCTCACAATTATCTCCACGCTGTCGAGGAAATACTTTTCTTCCTGCCTGAAGAACGACTCCAGTCGCTAGTTCCATCGGTGACTCTGTCCCTCATACAAGGCGTCAGGAAGACACGATTGTCGGCTGAGACGTACTGGCACCGTGCGCGTGCGTGGATGACAGTCCTTGGAAACCTTGACGCCCGATTCGATGCAACCCGTTCCAATAGCACCTACACACAAATCGCCTTCACCGAGGTGGCTGAGGATGTATTCAAGAGCGAACGTACGGGTATTAAGCGGCCAATTCTATTACTCTATGCTCTCGCGTTCCGTACGGCACAGCAGCCAGGCTATGGTGTGTACAAGGACAGTTGGTTACAGTGCGTACACGCCTACGCGGCCTCGGCACTGAAGCAGCAAGGCATACTGAGAATGGAAGACGAAGTGATAAAGGTCTTTGAGCGCATGCGGAAGGCTTCCATTCGATATGGGCCGATGATGAGTATGGCTGTCCATACATTCACATCCCACGCCAGCCTTCGGTCTCTGCGCCGATTTCAATACCTTGTACAACAGTATCGATTTCCACTACATAACATAGAGGCCATACAAACCCGTCTCGCCGCTGAGCTGCCCACTCTCCGACAGCAACCAAACCTGCAGACACTCCAGGAGCGCGAACAGCATGCCTCCACATTACGTGCATGCCAATACATCTCCGATTCTCTTAACAACTTCGCCGGACCACATATCTCGACTACGCTTGTCAGCGATCAAGAAGAGATGGAAACTCTACAGGCCCGTCGGGAATTTGTCGCAATTCTGGACCGCGCCTCGGACTACCATGCGCTGCCGCCAGCCTACGCCAACCTCACTGCTGACATACCGTTCTCTCAGCGCACGGCGCTTGTCCATCAATTAGCTCATCATTACTCTATCGCTACTACCCGTTCACATAACGCAACCATGCGCTCCATCTACCAACTATACAACTATCTTGAGTCGCATTCCCTGCCAATTGGTCCTCTGTTTACCAAAGCTGTAGTCCGAGCTGCTATTATCCGGCCCATGATGGAACACAGGTTCATCAGTGCAAGGAGATTGATTTGGGTGTGCCATGTCGTTGCCAGGGTTGAAGGTGAAAAAGTAGCAAGGCAGATTGAAGGTGCTTTCCATCGCTGGAGAGGGGACCTGATCAAGCATGCCAAGGAGGTGCATGATGCTGCTGGTGGTGATCGGGGTGAGAAGGCCATGGTGGGAAGGTTGAAACAGTTGAACCTATTGGGACGCAAGGATGATTAGATGCTGTTGTGGAATAAAAGGCTAGTTGATCACATATACCCCGTAGAAAGCACGTTGTTACAGACGACGGAGATACGCTTGGTGCTGGTACAAATTCTGTACCAGCAAGCGGCATCAACGCGAAATTATACAGTTACATCCCATGCATTTAGATTTGACTAAACTCTGACTTGGGCTCAGGTGATAGTCGCGGCCGTTTAGTCAGTGCAGGAAGCATGTCGTTGGAGGTCGGTTGCTGATGCTCACGAGATCAAACCTTGGAAATATGCCCCACTTCGTCATAACTTTCATTGGATCACTCTTGTCCCCTCCTCCCAGCCCTTCATTGTCGCGCTCATCAACGCTGAGCACAGCAATATCCTGTGTAAACATTTTGCGATGCGCTGAGTACTAAGCTTGAAGTCTGAGATTTCGCATTTCCGCTTGCACCGACGTCATCGGACTGGCCTTGGATCACATCTTCACGAACAACGCATTCGACTTGGATCATGCCTGTAATGCGCAAAAGCACGAAGACATCAACTTTCCGGACTTCTTTCTGGTGATGTTATATTGGTCGTCATCGGATTGTCGTCATCGCTCGATACAAAGCAGTCTTTCCTCCACGCAAACGCGAGATTAACTGCATCTGAGTACCTATTTACAGCACCCAAACGGCGACTCACAGTTGAAGCGATCCGCTAGCGCCTTGTGTCGATATGGACCGGACTATCTCCCCACCTAGGCCTACTGTTGAACAACTACGACATGTCGTCAACAACTACCCTATCATCGACAACCACGCCCACAACCTCATCTTACCTCACCAAGCCGATACAATTCCCTTTGAAACCATAACCACGGAAGCGCAAGGAAGAGCTTTGCGAGACACCTTCAAATCACTGCCCCATTTACGAGCCGCCAAACAGCTGCGCCGACTTTACGAATGTGGTGAGGACGCGGACTGGGAGGACATCCTGGAACAGAGAGTTGAGTGGATCCGGAGCAACTCCGAACGATTGCATCAACGATGCTTCGAAAACGTGCACGCACTTCTCATCGATGATGGACTCGCTGGGCTGGAGAAAGTCTTTCCTTACGATTACCATGATAGGTATACGCAGGCACCTAGTAAGCGGATTGTGCGCATCGAGACAGTCGCGGAGCGCTTGATGGAGAATCTTGTACGAGATGCATCAGAAGACGATTTGGGCAAGACCAAGTTTCTACCACAGGTCTGGACGAACTTTACCGAAGACTTCGAGCGCGAGATCCAAGATGCGGTCGAAGACGAAAACGTTGCCGGGTTCAAATCTGTCATCTGTTACCGAACGGGTCTTGATATCGAACCGGAGTACGAAGAAGCTGCGAAGACAGTTGGACACCCTTTTGAACGTTACGTCAAGAGTTGCATTCGCAAACGCATCTACCGTATCGAGAAGAAGCATCTGAACGACTATCTCGTGTTGCGCACACTGGAAATCCTGTCCGAGCAATTGCCACATGGCGACTCTCTTGCGAAGCCATTCCAGCTACATACCGGCCTTGGTGACAATGACATCAGCCTCCTTGAGTCAAACCCAGCCTTCCTGCAGCCATTGATCGAGAACTACCCCCAGGTGCCCTTTGTACTCCTTCATTCAGCGTATCCATATACGCGCGAAGCGGGCTACCTAGCCACTGTATATCGACATGTGTACCTGGACATTGGCGAGGTCTTCCCAATGGTCAGTAGGGATGGTCAGACAGCGATCCTACGTCAAGCTATGGAGCTTGTCCCTGGCAGCAAGCTCTTATACTCATCTGATGGCCATTGGTTCCCTGAGACATTTTGGCTTGCGAATTTACAATTTCGCGAAGTTTGGTTCCAGGTGAGTCCGCAGAGACGAAGGACCGTCTTTTCACTGGTGCTGACAAAGACAGCTGCTCAGCGAGTACATCCAGAAAGGCGACATCACCCCACACCAAGCTATTGGCATGACGAAAGACATCATGTTCAACAACTCCAACGTACTGTATGATCTGCGCTATGAAGCTATATTTGATGAGACAGTACAAGCAGATCCAAAACAGCTTACTTATAACCCAAAGCCTGCCGCGGCTTCACCTTATCAGTCTCCAGCGGTGACGCCAGCACCCGCTATGGGCATTCCCAACCGATTCTCAGCTTCTAACACGCCAGCCAGTCGGTCAGTCTCTCCGTACACGCAGTCGGCGTTCCCTCCGCCGCCAAAGGTACCTCATGTATACGACGTCCAGTTGTTCGAAGACTTTAGAGAACGGAACCCTGCAGTGAAGTTCATTTACGTGCAATGGCTTGATTACATGGCCACGATCCGTAGTCGCATTGTTCCCATCAAGGAGTTTACACGCATGATAGTCGAAGGGGAACGCATCGGCATATCGCAGGGGAACACTGGTACTCTCCAGAACGATCGCCTTACCCCAGTTGTGAACACCACGGGCCAAATCTACATCGAGCCGGATCTACGTTCCCTCCGTGTAACCCACAACAAAGACCCCCTTCCAGCTGCAACAGTACTCAGCTACTGGCGCACAGAAGATGGGTCTGCCCTTCCAGAAGACCCACGAAACAACCTGGAAACGCTAATCAACGAGCTCCAATACAACTACGCGACATCCCTTCTCATCGGCTTCGAAATAGAAGTTACATTCCTCTCGCGAAACCCCCCTTCCACTTCCACCAACCCTTTCCAGACTGAGCCCTACTCCCCTTTGACCAAAACCCACGCATGGGGTACCCTTACACCAGAACAATGGCTGCAACTCCCCTTCCTCAGCGAAATTGTCCTCGCGCTTGAGGAAATGGGCATCGAAGTGCAACAATTCCATGCTGAATCCGGACCGGGACAGTACGAATTCGTACTTCCGCCTCATCCTCCTCTCCTCGCTATCGACACGCTCATCCAGGCCAGACAGGTCATTGCTCAGATAGCTAGTCTGCATGAACTGCGCGCCACGCTGCATCCTAAGCCTTTCGAGGGTATGGGCACAGCCGCCCACGCGCATGTTAGTTTGCACCCGCCAGAGAGGGACATGCAGTTCTTCGTCGGGGGCGTGTTGAAGCATCTCCCTGCTATCTGCGCGTTCACCATGCCGGAGGAGGCTAGCTATGGACGTGTAGCAGACAACTCTTGGACAGGCGGATCATGGGTAAATCACCGTCCCTTGACCCCCAGAAATAAACAACTGCATTCTGACATGAGTGCACAGGTAGCATGGGGCACCCAAAACCGCGAAACACCACTCCGACGCATCTCCCCCGGCCGCTGGGAACTCCGCTGCATCGACGGTCTCGCAAACATGTATTTCGCCCTTTCTGCCGTTCTCGCCGCCGGCCTCCTCGGTCTCGCTGCAAACGACCTCATCTTCCCGGAACAGGACGTCCAGACCAATCCTGCGGCCATGGACGAGCAGATGCGCGCTGCGGTTGGTATGACGCAGAAAATGCCTAGAAGCATGAAGGAGGCTGTGGAGGCGCTGAGAGAGGACGGCCCGCTTAATGAGGCGTTGGATCAGAAGTTTGTGGGGGCGTATCTGGAGATGAAGCGGGAGGAGGCGAAGATGTTGGGGGAGATGGGGGAAATTGAGCGGAGGGCGTTTCTGGTGGAGAGATATTGAGGGCTATTTCGTAGTTGACCATGTGTATTTGATATGCAATTGATGTTCTTTGCTTCATATGTTGTGGCGTCCTAGATCAGTTCAAAACGTTAGCCTCGGGCTTGAACGGTGCGAGTGAATGGTTCATGTTAGAAGGAGTCCTACCGCGATATGAATTCTTGTCAAACACATTGTTGCTTCACTTTATCTTGCTCGGGCAATTTGTCAATGTAGTCGCCATGGCAGGCTATAAGCTACACAAGTGAGTTTCGAAGAAGATTGAGTAAGGGTGTCTTGGAATAGTTTAAGTTTTATGGTTGAGACAGAGTAAGATGACTCTATGCTGCACTGCGTGCCGATGGTCAGGTATTCACGTTGGCATTTCGGAGATGCAGATTCATCAAACCTTGTGGAGGACTACTTCTCTGCTACCATCTAGTTTACACAAAGTCGTCCTTATTGCACAACATTACATGCATTCACAATTGAAGAACTAGCGTACTTAGACGATTCAAGGTCTCATTTCATTGCGCACCATACATACAACAGTACAGCAAAACTATTAGAATTTCACCTAAGCCAAAGAAAACCACACTACTCTTCCAGGCCACGCGTCCAAGACGGTGCCGATGAGCCCAAGGGGAATAAGCGCAAACCCACGCAAACCATGCAGGATAAATACAAAGTTGACCGATATCTTACAACAGGATCATAGCCATGCCAGAGGCAACGGCAGCAACAACGTACAGACCCATGCCGAAAGCACCGTTGGTGAATTGGGGAGCGGACAGACCGGCGGCAGCACTGCCGGAGCCAGATGCGTCACCAGAGCTGGAAGCACCGGTAGCCTTGGCAGCAGCGCCCTTGACGGAGCCAGTGCCATCGACACCAGCGTCCTTGAGAAGGGAAGAGCAGCCGGAAGCGGTGGGGCTGGCAACAGCCTTCTTGGAAGTGGCCTGACCCTTGAAGTCGCAGCCATCGCTGACCTTCTTAGCGTAGGCGTTGAGGGCGAAAGAGAGCTGCTCGCGGCTGGAGCACATGCCGTAGACACCGTAGGGGCCGGCAGTGGCGTTCTTGTTGATACCCTGGCAGTACTCGCCGTCCTTCTCACCGCAGATGAAGCCGAACATCTTGCCGAAGTCCTCCTCCTCGGTGTCATCGGCGACTTGGCAGCTGAGAGTCTCCATCATGCACGAGCAGAGGTTGGCGTTGGCGACAGGAGGGAGGGGGTCAGACTCGGCCTCCCACTTGCCAGAAGTGACCTTGGGGCACGAGGCAGCAGCGGTGTTGCTGGGCTTGTACTCGGACATCTTGACACCGACGGGGGTGGCCTTGGCGATCTGCTTGGACAGGTTGTCAAAGTCGTCGTTGGTCTCGACCTTGCCGCCCTTGATGGAAGCGAGACCTGGGAAGTGTTAGAGGCGATTCAAAGGATCAAGATATGGGAAACTTACCGAACTTGTTCTCCTCCTCGAAGTACATGTAGACGATACCTCCAGACCAGACACCAGTCATTTGCTTGCCGTAGAGAGCACCGACCTCAGTGAACTTGCGGGGGCGAGGAGTGTTGCAACCGTACTCAGCGAAGAAGACGGGAACGTTGTACTTCTCAAAGTTCTTGGTCTGGACATCGAAACCGGACTCGGTGAAGGAGGAGTCACCGCACCACGAGTAGATGTTGTAACCCCAGAAGTCAATAGCGCTGTCGGCGTCGCCGCAGTCGAAGTAGTTGGCCATGTTCTCACGGATGTCGGCATCGTCGTTGGTGGCGTATCCGACACCAATCTCACGATAGTTCTTGCTCTTGATGTAGGCCTTGGTGTCACGGACAGCTGCCTTGACGAAAGCGCTTGCAACGGTGTTGTTGGGCTGGTTGCTGACCTCGTTACCGGCGAAGAAACCGAGAGTGTTGTCGTACTTCATCATCTCGTCAACGACGCTGGTGTAGCGCTCGTATAGCTCGACAGTCCAGCCGGGGTCGTCACGGTTGATCGACAAGCCTGGCTCAGACAGATCGGCTACAACGTAGATGCCCGCATCGGCAAGCTGGCTCATGCAGTCCTCATGGTCCTTCTTGGGATCAATGGCGTACACACGAATGGTGTTGGTCTGGAGCTTCTTGAGCTGCTCAATGTCACGCTTGCATGCTGATGAGTCGGCAAGAGGGTCGGTGATGTCGAGCTCGTCGGTCGAGGCAGCTGTTGAGTTGGAGTTGATTTCTTGCTGGTATGCGACACCCTTCATGAAACTGTGCGATTGTTAGCTTGGCTTTTCTTGACTTTTCTTGAGTTCTTGGGTCCCTTACAATTGTTCACCACTGTTCTTGTGGAAAAACTTCTGGCCCTAGGCATTGTTAGACACGCAAGTCGCACCTGTCGCACGACATCATACCTTGATGACAATGGGGTCAACGGCGGCTTGAACGCCCGCGAGTAGGGCCGCAGTAGCGAAGATTCCACGCATCTTGGTAATAATAGTACAAGACGAGTTCCAAGAGTAGTGGTGGTGTTGGCGAGAGCTTGGGTTGAATCGCCGAGAGTTGGGTTTAAAGAGTGTAGAGAATGTGTTTAGGAAGGAACAATGAGATGAAGGAGTGTGGCGCAACAGCGAATGAGGCTGTATGCGAAAAATGAATTATTCAAGGACGTAAAGACGGACTGGTAAAACAGAAAAGTGAGTGTAGAAACGACTCTGAGGCACAACGAGTGAAGAAATGTAGGGTCAATCAAGCATTCCAAGAGGGATCAGCGAGGGTTCACCTGTGCCCCTGATACTAGGCTTGTTTCGCATTCATGGCCCGAGCGCCTTCGAGACCATCATCTATTCTTCTATTGCACCAACACCGCAGGTAATATGGATGTTAGATGTTGGAGACTACACGTCCAGCTTTGCGGTATGGGAGTCAGCTTCACCAAAATATTACCAATGTTGTTGTCGCATTTTTAGACTGTCAGCGCGGCTCGTAGTCAAGAGTCGCGATCTCGACGCGTACGTACACCCAATTTCGCACCCCACTGAGAGCCGCCTGAGCCCCACTGCGGATCATGTTGCTAAATTGAATGGCGTCTCTGCAGATGTCACGGTATGTGTCCCGAGCAGTCCCGGTGCGCCGTGTTGGATTATACGAGAGAAGGTCGGAAGTCGAGACTGTGGATCTTGGGGATGGATGTCGGCGATTGCGATGGTCGTCGACGCTGGAGTGCACAGCCTCGTGCAGCCCCGGCTTGACCGCGGCACTTTAGGTTCGGAGGCACACGACACGCAGTTTGTGCAGCTGAAACCTAGTCGTTGGTGTGGCGAAGTCGCTCGCGCCGTGAGGCGGCCAATGGAGCATGATGCGTTCACAGGCAGATGCCGCTGACGCTGGTGTTCGCACGTCTGCGACTCGGCTCGAGACAGCCATTGGTCATCACAAGGGTAGAGCATGGCGAGGCTTCGGGCCGGGAGCTGGCATGCCCGAGAGCGTTTGAGAGTAATGCTTGCATACAAAGGCAGCTGGTCAGGGAGGGTGCGCAATTATGTATTGGTGAAGCGGTTACGGGCTAAGAGAAGTGCATGTAGAGAGTTTGCATACAGGCGTAATCATGATCAGACTTGCTGGGCTGGGGTTAGGACGCGACTTGGACGCTCTGTAGCCGGCTCATTTGCCATAGTGTCGACGTTGGGAACCGGGCGGCCTAATATAGCTCACCAGCTGGGGCCCTGGTCGGTTGAATTGGGGTGCGGTGAGGGATTCCGTCATCATGCGATCGCTTTTGATTCATGCACGACTCAGGAGAATCACGGCGCAACGAGTGGGCGGCTTTTGGGAGGGAAGTAAACATACAGGCGGCAAAAGGACTGGGGCGTGTTGAGGTGCGGTGTGGTCGGGTGTGATCAGGCTCAACAGAAGCACTAGCAGCGACTGGCGGCCGTCAGCCCCCTTTGGATTGCGACACCAAGCACCGTTGGCCTTTGATGAGCCAGGGCTAGGGCGTTGCGGAAGCGCGCCACGTCGCGATTGGCCGTCAGATAAGAAACTTATCGTCGCTATCGCGGCCGGTCGAGCAGCGGGCGAAGCAGGCGGGACTGACTTGGTCTGCCGGGTCGCTAGTCGTGGTTTGATCAGCGCGGGCCTCGCAACCGTGCAGTGCAGTCTTTGTTGGCCCATGGCTGCGAGCAGTCGTGACGTGAGGAGGGTGAATTCAGCGGCGGGGGAGCAGAGGCAAAGAGCGGTACTGCAGTCTCGAGCTGTCAGCCGAGTCACCCAGAGAGCGCTACATGCACACCGGGTGACGGCAAGCAGGGCGGTGGTGTCGTCTTTGTTGGTGGTGTATTCGGGAACCGGTATTATCGATATGCAAGCAGATCGGAGATCCCATGGTAGCTGGTTTCCATGCCAGCGCCGTGCGGCAGCCGCCAGAGCAGCGCGCAGAGGACGCGCAGGAGATCGGAGCACCTGTTGCTCGAGTGAGCGCAGCGGAGCAGCTTTGTAGTGTGCATATGTCCATGATCTCCGGTGCCTTTTTTAGAGGGGCGACTCAATATCGGGACGTGAATGCTAGCGAAGGGGACCCATGCGCAGCGTCTCTGACGGCGTTAGGCTAGCTTGGCGGTCGTGCCTTTCATTTTCAGGGGAAGCTGCTAAAAAGCTCTTTGCCTGCCCTTCCGCATTCCACACTGTCGCTCACTCACCACCTTCTTCTTCACGTGTCCGTTTTCTTCTACATTGCCTCTCGTTTCATTGCGTTGAGGTTGTGTAGCTTGGACGACCCGCCCCGACTGCTCCCTCACCCGCCTTGAGGAGGAGAGCCGCTACCCGCCACTTCCACCCAGCCTAATTCCTACTTTCGCCCCAGCAGCAGACAAGCGCCGATTCGCCGCGCGTCTCTCCTGGCAACCACGACCGGCTGCATACTCAGCTTTCCATTCGCTACGCACGACCACAACACCACGCTCTTGTACTGCAGCAGGCACGAGCAGCCCGCTGTGCTACTGAGACATCGCCGCCCCCGCGATAAACAGCGAGCCACTTCCACCACAACACACTCGTTCAAGCACCCCATCTGCACCTAGTGCACCCACGTCAACCGTATTTCGCGGCAGCACCACTACGAGCAATTCGACTCTGCCGCTCCTAATGCCCATTGTTTGAGGTACAACCGCCCCTCCGACGCCCGCCGTTTCAGCATTGGCGGCCCCTTGCGCGACAGTTATTGACAGCTCGCCTCGCAGATTTACATCCCACTCTAATAGCTTCCCACGATGTCCGGACATCCACAGGGAGGCCACTACGACGACGGCTACGGCCAGACTCAAGGCCACGCCCAGGGCCAGCCTCAGGGCCAGGACGCCTACTACCACGATGACCAGTACGGCCAGTATCACGACGACGCCCACGGCGCCCAGTACCAGCAGCAGGGCCAGCACACCGATTCCTACTATGACGAGCAGTGCGTATAGAGCTCCAGCGATGTGCTCGATCAAATGCTAACAGCCATACAGAGGTTACTATGACGGCCAGCAGGGCGGTCAATACCAACAAAACGGCTACTACGATGAGCGCGGCCAGCAGGGCTACCAAGACGAGTATTACAACGACCAGTACTACGACCAGGGTGGTGCCCAAGACGGCTACGCAGCCAACGGCCAGCAGCCCCGTCGCCGTCAGCACGACTCTGAGGAAGACTCCGAGACATTCAGCGACTTTACTATGCGTTCCGACATGGCTCGTGCCACAGACATGGACTACTACGGTCGCGGGGACGAGAGGTACAACAGCTACGCCGAGGGCAACCGCGGCTACCGTCCCCCTTCGTCTCAAGTTTCCTATGGTGGCAACCGCTCGTCGGGTGCTTCAACGCCAATCTACGGCATGGACTACTCCAACGCCCTTCCCGCCGGACAGCGCTCTCGCGAGCCTTACCCGGCGTGGACTGCCGAAGCCCAGATTCCCTGCACCAAGGAGGAGATTGAGGACATCTTTCTCGACTTGACCGCTAAGTTCGGTTTCCAGCGTGACAGCATGCGCAACATGTACGACCACTTCATGACCCTGCTCGATTCGCGTGCGTCCCGCATGTCGCCCAACCAAGCGCTTCTGTCGCTGCACGCCGATTACATTGGTGGCGAGAACGCCAACTACCGTCGATGGTACTTCGCGGCTCATCTCGATCTGGATGATGCCGTCGGCTTCGCCAACATGAACCTCGGAAAGGCCAACCGCCGCACCCGCAAGGCTCGCAAGGCCGCCAAGAAGAAGGCCAGCGAGAACCCAGGCAACGAGCAAGAGACTCTCGACGCTTACGAGGGCGACAACAGTCTCGAGGCGGCTGAATACCGCTGGAAGACCCGCATGAACCGCATGTCGCAACACGACCGTGTTCGTCAAGTCGCCCTATACCTTCTCTGTTGGGGAGAGGCCAACCAGGTCCGTTTCATGCCTGAGTTGATGTGCTTCATCTTCAAGTGCGCCGACGACTGGCTAAACTCGCCTGCTGGACAAGCTCAGACAGAGCCAATCGAGGAGTTCACCTACCTTAACAATGTCATCACACCGCTATACCAATACTGCCGTGATCAAGGTTACGAGATCCAAGATGGCAAGTATGTCCGTCGCGAACGCGATCACGCAGCCATCATTGGATACGATGACATGAACCAGCTGTTCTGGTACCCCGAGGGTCTCGAGCGCATCGTATTCGAGGACAAGTCTCGTCTTGTCGACATCCCACCGGCTGAGCGTTACGCAAAGTTGAAGGATGTCCTCTGGAAGAAGGTCTTCTTCAAGACATACTACGAGCGCCGTTCGTGGTTCCACATGGTTATCAACTTCAACCGTATCTGGGTCATTCATTTGACATCCTTCTGGTTCTACACGGCTTTCAACTCGCAACCTCTCTACACCAAGGGCTACACACAACAGGAGGACCAGAAGCCTGAGAAGGCCGCCACCTTGTCCGTGGTCGCTCTAGGTGGTACCATTGCCTGCTTCATCCAGATCTTCGCCACTATCTGCGAGTGGTGCTACGTTCCTCGACGATGGGCTGGTGCTCAGCATCTTACGAAGCGTCTCTTGTTCCTCATCTTGTGCTTCGTCGTCAACATCGCTCCTAGTGTCTACATTCTTGGTATGGACAAGCGCACCGGTACTATCGCCAACGTTCTCGGTGGTGTCCAGTTCGCTATCGCTTTGGCCACCTTCGTGTTCTTCTCACTCATGCCCATCGGAGGTCTGTTCGGCAGCTACCTGACACGCAACTCTCGCAAGTATGTTGCAAGTCAAACGTTTACTGCCAGCTACCCCCGTCTCAGTGGTAACGACATGTGGATGTCTTATGGCCTCTGGGTCTTGGTCTTCGCTGCCAAACTTGCTGAGTCCTACTTCTTCCTGACACTGTCGATCAAGGACCCTATTCGCATCCTGTCGCACATGAAGAAGCCTTCTTGCCTTGGAGACGCCATCATTGGCAACATCCTCTGCC